ACCCTAAACCCTAAACCCTAAACCCTAAACCCTAAACCCCAAGCCCACGTGTTTGGGAGGTCATGGGCGTCGACTTACGAAAACAGGGGACCCCCAGTATGGAACCACAAATATAGTAGACTTCCAGGATGCCCTAGGGTTTAGGGTTTAGGGTTTAGGGTTTAGGGTTTAGGGTTTAGGGTTTAGGGTTACAATGAGGACCCCAATAAGGTACCCCTAGCAACGACTGCAAACTCCTTAGACCATGTGGGGTCGCTGTGGTTCGCGTTTGTGAGGGAGGGAGAGGTCGAGTCGGCGTCAAGGACTGGAAAAATTTGGGTGTTTTGGCTTAGGGTTTAAGTTTAGCGCTTAGAGGGGTGGATTTGCTACTGCTACGGGGACAGAAGCCGCTCCCCAAATCAAGTTTGACGTCGGACCTCCAGGTAGCCTTATGAGAGGTTTGGGCTTCCGGGCTCAGGTTTAGGGTTTAGGGTTTAGGGTTTAGGGTTTAGGGTTTAGGGCTTCAGGTGGAGATGTGTCCAGACCATCCGCAGAAGTTGCGCGCAGTGCCTCGGCGGAGTGGTTTGAGACCTAAACCTTGTCCAGCTTCCTGAAACCCTAAACCCTAAACCCTAAACCCTAGAGCTTGGCCCAAAAACCTAAAACCCTCAAGTCCGAAATCGTACGAGTTCTGCAATCCCTCTTTCACCGGCAACTGAAGCCTGTTCGTGTGAGGTAGTTGAGAGCATGTGGTTTTATCTGAGAGTTTAGGGAGGCTAGCGATTAAGAGTTGAGATGTCAAGGCTTAGAGAGATGTGGGGCTTTTCGAAAATCAGGGACCCCGAATATAGACCCCCCCCACGTAGTAGGATTCCCTTATAATAAGGGACCCCAATAAGGTATCCCTAATTCGGAACCCCCCATGAGGTCAAAGTAGATTTGAGGTTTTAGGTGGTTCAGGTTTCGATCCTGGCCCGGAAAAAGCAACAGGCTGCACGATATGGGGGATTTACGAACATAAGGGACCCCTTAAAAGACCCCCGAACTAGTAGGATTCCCTTTGAATAAGGGGCCCCAACAAGGCTAGGGTTTAGGGTTTAGGGTTTAGGGTTTAGGGTTAGGGTTTAGGGTTTAGGGTTTAGGGTTTAGGGTTTAGGGTTTAGGGTTTAGGGTTTAGGGCTTAGGGTTTAGGGTTTAGGGTTTAGGGCTTAGGGTTTAGGGTTTAGGGTTTAGGGTACAGTGAGCTTTCCGAATCCCACATGTGCAGACCGCAGCAGGCCGCAGCAGACCTCGGCTCGGAGCACCTCATGTCGGGTTTAGGGTTTAGGGTTTAGGGTTTAGGGTTTAGGGTTTCAGTGTTTCAGGGTTTAGGGTTTAGGGTCCATCAAGCTTCAGAGATGAAGCGCCCTGCCGCAAAAGCCTCTGCCAAAGCTGTGCAGAGCGCGCGAGCGAAGACCAAGAAGCCTGCAGGCTCCTACTCCCGCCTCTTGCTTAGCCAACAGTCGAGCTTTAAACCTTTTTGGGTTTCCTTACTAGTCGGAATAGTAAACTTAAAACTTTTTGGGTTTCCTTAGTAGGAGGAATAACGTTGAACTTTTTTTCCCCCTGGGTTGAAGAAGTAAGGCCTGGTGAGCGCAAAGGCATGGGCGGCAGACAAGGCAGCTCGGAAGAAGGGCCGGGTTCCTTAGTAGCTGAGTGAGCACACTTTACACTTTTTAGTGTTTAGGGTTTGGGGTTTGGGTTTTGCGTTTAGGGTTTAGGGGTTAGGGTTTAGGGGTTAGGGGTTAGGGTTTAGGGGTTAGGGGTTAGGGGTTAGGGGTTTAGGGGTTTAGGGTTTAGGGGCTTATGAACTCAGCAGCAAAGGTTCACATCTTCAATGCCACCCGGCCTCATGGCATGGACGGCTGGACCATGGACCTGAAACAGTACCTTCTCAGGGGTACTTGGAAATGATTTCAATTTTTTGGTACTATCATCTCTAAGAAAGCGTACAAAAGATATAAATATAAATATATATATACATATACATGTGTATATATATATATATAGAATTTTTGCTAGGGTTCCAAATTCAGTACCCCTAAAGGGGTTTTTAGGGCTCATATACCCCATGATCGGAAGTGTGGTAGTATTGGGGGGACATGACCCCAACTTTCGGTTCATGTCGTCCCCAAGGTATGAGCTGATCCGAAAGCATGTCTTGCAGACCATCGACAAGAAAGGCGACAAAGATGGCGCCGTCCCCTTGCAGTTGGTGGTAGACACTGCCCAGAAGCGCTACGGGAAGCACAAACTCTTCCCCAAGGGCCGGCTCACCAACTACGTCCGCTACACCAAGGTCGACCTGGAGGCCAGGCAAGAAGTCAAGAGAGTTCCGGGGTCCGGATCCCAGAGGATTCAGCGCTGCAGTTGATCAACGCGTGGGTGCCAGTGTGTTGAAGTATGTTGCTCGGCTTCAGACTACACCAATCGACAAGCGAACCGGCTCAGCATGTACATAGGCAGTTTCAGGCATGACAAGTTAGGCATGCAGAGCCTCAGAGCCAGAGAGCCAAAAAGCTGTTAATTCGATGTGTCTATGACTGCTTGGCCAACCATGCGATTTGCCAAGCCTGAATTCTGCAGCGGTGCCTTTACGGCATGTGTAGATTCTTAAGTTTCGGGCTTAGAGCGGCGGGATATGGTAGAATGTCAATGTTGAGAGGGATGCTCCAACTTCAGTTGTCTCAGGCGACTTATCCTCGTAGGCCTCCAAGCCCAAAACACCTAAACCCCCACCCCCACCCCTTATCCTCAAGGGTTTTGGCCTCAAACTGCCAGATCAGAAAGCTCATTGCCAAGACTTGGTTGGAGCTACGTACCTCTCCAAAAAGGATGCTTTCTCATGCAGCACTACGTAGGATAGTGAAGCAAACGCCACTTAAGTCCAAACCCTTTGGTTTCTCTTGTCCCGAAGTCCGGAAACCCCGGCCTAATCCTTACGAATGTTCCCCTAGACCCTAAACCCTAGACCCTAAACCCTAAACCCTAAACCCGAAACCCTAAACCCTAAGCACCCTAAATCCTATACAGTAGACCTAGAAGCCCCGAAACCTGCGACGTGAAAATCTGGCGACCCGCAGCCCTGTCGCAGCAAGCCTCAAACCCTCTGGCCTTGGGATGTTCCCCCTTATGCTACCAGTAGAGGCTAGAATATGGGTACTTTAATCCCTACTAAGGACTGTTAGTATAAAGGGGGAACATCCCAACTCTAGCCCCTAAAACCCGAAACCCTAAACCCTAAACCCTAAACCCTAAACCCTAAACCCTAAACCCTAAACCCTAAACCCCTCAAATCTGTAAAGGTGCCGGCGCAGCACTTCGACGCGGCGCTTCTCTCCCTGGTGCTGCGAGCACTCCGCCGGAGCCTTTGTTATGAGGCTTGGGGTCTAGGGTTTGGGGTTTAGGGTTTAGGGTTTGGGGTTTAGGGTTTAGGGTTTAGGGTTTAGGGTTTAGGGTTTAGGGCGACTGTTATGAGGGTTTAGGGTTTAGGGTTTAGGGTTTAGGGCGACTGTTATGAGAGGATTTGTCGAGGCCTGTTTTAGGCTCACACTTCAGGAGTGTTCCGGTTGGAAGGCGTGAGGTTGCGCAAGGTGTATCTATGCGGAAGCCAGAAGACGGACCGGGCACCGGATATCTGGAACAACTAGGAGGGCGGGGGATAAAACCCCACACCAAAACTACCCTAAACCCTAAACCCTGAACCCTACACCCTACACCCTACACCCTACACCCTAAACCCTAAACCCTAAACCCCAAACCCGAAACCCGAAACCCTAAACCCTAAACCCTAAACCCTAAACCCTAAACCCTAAACCCTAAACCCTAAACCCTAAACCCTACACCACACCCCCACAAGGTAGCAAGGCCCAACGCCGGTCTATGCTCCAGCGCGCCGCGCGGAGCGTTCGGCCTGGTGGCCTCGTGGCGCGAGGGCCCGGGTGGGAGGGTTTTGTGGGGGTTTAGGGTTTAGGGTTTAGGGTGTTTAGGGGTCCTTCTGTGTCACCGGAAAAGCGGTTGGAAACGGTTGAGGAGGGTCTTAGGGCCTTAGGGCTTATGAAGAGCCTGTGCGCTTGTACTTTTTGTCCGTCGTTTTGGCATTTTGGGGGGTCTAGCTGGGTCCCTTCTGTTTTTGGTGTGGGGGGGAGGGGGGGGGGGGGGGTTGATTTCAATCTTTTGCTTGAAGGCATGAGTGTATGGGTATGGGCATGGGGCTAGATTGGCTCAGGATCAAGCCTTACGTGCAGGTTTAGGAGGTGAAATCACAGAGACCCAGAGGGATGGAATGAGGCCTCAGAGATGCGAGGATTGGGGATCAGGGTCCCGGAGTCTAGTACTGGATTCGCGGCACGAGGAATCGGAGGTTTAAGGGTTTGGGATGAGGGCTTTATGGGCTTCAATCTTCCGTTTCAGGAATAGATCCACAACGCTTCACATCGCTGTTTATGGTAGATGAAACGTCGGTTCAGCTTCATGCAAGGTGCAGCTCTTCGAAGTGAGCCGACGTATGTTTAGAGTTTAGGGTTTACTGTAGGGCTACTACGATAGCATAGTCTTCCTGCTGTGCTCATTTTGGGGGTGTTGGCTTCCACCAGCTTACCTCGCCTGCGTTTCTTGTACAATTTGTTTTCCTTGCTGTTTTAGGGTTTAGGGTTTAGGGCTTAGGGTTTGCTGTAATCTGAGGTTGTGGTGGAGCGAACTCCGTTGGAGTTCATGCCGTGCCCTGAGTAAGGGTGTTAGTCGAACAAGGGTGTTGGAAGTGTCAATGATTTGGGGTTCAGAACCTAGAGGTACCTCCACCACACACAGATCTCACAGGATTTGCGTTTGCGTAGAGTTGTGAATGAGAGTCGGTGGTGTGAGGTCGAGGCTCTCCGTGCTTCAGCTCCTGTTGCCTGCACTGCTTTGGCTTAGCAAGAACTCGCTTGACACCGATTGGTAGAAGCAGTGGGTGGATATCTCTGGCGGGCATTTGAATTCCACGTCGTTCGCAAACTCTAAAAGATAAATCGAAGGATTCCCCGCTCCCCCCCCCCCACCCCCCGAAAGGACCAATGCCCCCTTCGAGGACGGGGCCTGCGAACATCTCGAGGTTGTGGGTCAGCTTGGAACCGAGGGTTTAGGGTTTCGAGGTCCGAGGTTACAAGGGCATAAAAGTTTACCAGGTGGGACTTTACTACAACTTTATCACTTTATAAGGTCAGGGTTCCTCTAATTTCATATTAGGGGAGCCAAAAGTTAGACTTTTATCGGGGGATTAAAGAGCAACCAAGTTTACTTTGCTTCGTGCGACGAGATGGTCACCGCACCTGCAGATGCAAGTCCTCACCAGCCTTAAAATTGCTATTCCAGACGATGAGGCAACTCTGGGCAGATATGGGCAGTCCCCTGGATCCCACCCTGAAAAACTACCACCTGAAGTACAGGCCGTGTAGTTTCAGTGCAACCGTGCTTTCCCCGACATTCCATGCTTTGTGCTACGCGTGCGCCCATCCGACGGAACATAGAGGACGAGTTTTGGACAAAGATCCGGCTACGTTCTCAACGGCCTTTGAGGAGCTTGCGGGGCACACAGGCAGGCTGCTAATCTGAGTTTTAACAAGTGCTCTCTTGGTGTTCTTTGAGTTTCAGGTTTTAGTGGTTTTGTCCGGGGCATTTTGATTCTGGGTTGATCCGCTGCAGTTGCCCGTAAGACTCAACTTGGGTGAGCTTCTTCTGTTGCTTTGGGATTCACTACGCGTCCAGAGTCCAGAGAACGTCGCAGGCGGAACTCACAGTTCTCAGAGAACCCCACTTGGTAGCCCAGTGGCACCATTGACCCCTTTTTCTGGCTCTGGGTTCCCTTCTAAAGTCACCAGCCCAAAATGGGGTACCCTCATTATAGCATGGTTATTGGGCTACGGCTACTAAGCCCATGAAGCTAAACCCTAAACCCTAAACCCTAAACCCTAAACCCTAAACCCTAAACCCTAAACCCTAAACCCTAAACCCTAAACCCTAAACCCTAAACCTAACCCTAAACCCTAAACCCTAAACCCTAAACCCTAAACCCTAAACCCTAAACCCTAAACCCTAAACCCTAAACCCTAAACCCTAAACCCTAAACCCTATAAACCCTAAACCCTGAACCGTTTGCTTGCTTCCCACGGCGCTCAGGTGTATTTGCTGGACCGACTCCCGGACCTGCCGGCTAGTGGCGAGGGCCAAGATGCAGGAGGAGAAAAAGCCACCTTGCTTTGGGATGTTCCCCCTTATGTTAACGGTCCTTAGAGGGTATGAAAGAGAGGTTTAGGGTTTAGGGTTTAGGGTTTTTAGGGTTTTAGGGTTTTAGGGTTTAGGGTTTAGGGTTACTAGAGTCCCTATTAAGGACTGTTAGTGTAAGGAGAGGAACATCCATTGCTGGTTTCTCCTTCGGGTTTAGTTGTCTCTGTGTATTCCCGCCTCCCCCGCAATTCCCCCCAAAACAGTCCTTAATAGTGTTTGCCTTAGACCCTGAACCCCAAACCCTAAACCGTAAACCCTAAACCCTAAACCCTGGGACCTTCTGGTCCCCTGCGGCTCCCTCTCCCAGCCAGGTGCCCTCGGTGCCCTTGACGCTCGCGGCCGAAAGTGATGAAGGTGCCAAGACGAGGGAGTAGGGTTTAGGGTGTAGGGTTTAGGGTTTAGGGTTTAGGGTTAGGGTAATCCCTATTTAGGGTCGCAGGGCATAGTCAAGCAGGCTTGTGGGGTAATTACAGGGATTATAGGGCATCGCGCTTCTAAACCCGCGGAACCTTGAGCCTTGTTCGGGGCATTCAGCTAAACGCGCTCGACCCAGAGGAATACCGTGCGATCAATGTTCCTTTTGCGTTAGTGACGCAAAAAGCAGACGCATCAACACATCATCCTTCCTCGGCAGGAAAGAACTATGACTCCAACCGATGCACTCCCTACGTAATCCCTTCGCGAAGAGCCCAAAGAGTGGTAACCCACAACACGGACATGGCAAGCATCACTCGCATTCAAGGCCAAGAATTTTTACCCTATAATCCCTTAAAAGGCCCTTTATCTGTTGCAACCACAATGCAGTGAGTCTTAGTAAGTCCGCGAAGTGCGTTTTCGACCAGAGAAATGAGCGAAGTGCCCTGGCACGAAGTCGCATGCCAGAGCTCCGTGTGCGTGCACCAGCCAAGTGCCTATTATTTTTCGCTGAATGCAGGCAGAGCTTACGTGTCGGTGCAATGCGATTGGGAACTAAGTGCACTTCCAAAACATTGTTCCGGTGAACCTCCACTCTCAACTCTACAGGCCGAGGCCTAATCGCCAGCTGGGCATCTCCGTGATTTGGCCTGTGAGGTTTAGGATCGGCTAGGCGGAGATTCAAACAGAACCTCGTCGACAACCATATACTCAAACTACAACCGGTGTGGTCCGGCGGCCCGTGAAGACGGGTCATAGTTTTGCCACTGGCCTCTTTGCGCAGAAGAGATCGGCATGGTCAGATGCATCTAAGCGGTCTTATCGATGCCCAGTGCCGTTTTCGGAGAGATGAAACCTCTTGTGGTAGCTATTGGGATGTTCCCCTTTATACTGCCAGTCCTTGATAGGGATTGTTGTAGGAGATACAAGACTTCCTATTCAGGACTGTAGTAGGGGCTTAAACCCTAAACCCTAAACCCTAGTTAAACCCTAAACTCTAACCCCTAAACCCTAAACCCTAACCCCTAAACCCTGAACCCTAAACCCTAAACCCCGTATACTCTCGTAAACCCCCAAGTGCTATGCCAGGCACCCAGCCGCGTGAGTTCCTGGCTCCCACCGGAGTCTCCATGGAGGAGGACGTGGAGAAAGAGGTGGAGGAGGAGGCCGAGGTGTGGGTCGGGGAGGGAATGTATAGCAGTATGTGTGTGTGTTTTTTTAATATGGGGTTCGGGGTGTAGGGTTTCATGGTTCGGGTCGGGGAGGGGATGTTGACTTCGCCTGTAGTTGAACTTTCACCATTTTTGGGTTTCCTTTTTTCGTAGGAATATTGAAGTTTAACCTTTTTTGTTGTCTTGGTTATTGGGAAGTAAGGATGTATAGTGGTGGTGGAGCGTTTTTTTTAGGCTTTGGGGTGCAGGGCTTACTTCGAGTTTTTTGGGTGTAGGGTTTAGTTAGGGTTTTAGGGTTTAGGGTTTAGGCCTGTTGATGGTTGAGGGATGCCGGGATTGTCAGAAAGGCATTAATGTGTCTGTCACAACCATCAAGCCCCAAGTTCTGGCGTCCTGAAGGGCTTTTGTTTGCCTTTTGAGGCATCGGCTAACCGATGGCGTGATGTGGGAGTTTACGAAAATAAGGTAACCTAAACTTTTTAAACATAGTAGGATTCCCTTATTAAAACAAGAAACCAACAAGGTACCCCCAATTTCAAAAACCACCATGTGGTGTCAGGCATTTTGCTCACAAGATGGCTGAAGGGTCGTCGGGATGGAGCAGACTAGCTCCGATACCCAGGGCTCTTAATCCCCAAGAGCCTCCCTAAACCCTAAACCCTAAACCCTAAACCCTAAACCTCGAGACACGAAGACACTAAGTGAATCGGCACAGAGTCCCCTCAACTTCCCAAAGACACGAGCCGCACAGACCTGCAAGAGCAATCCACGAGTCAGAGCTCAAGAAACGAAGTATAAACCCCTCAACCCTAAGCCCTGAAACCCTAAACCCTAAATCCTAAACCCTAAACCCTAAACCCTAAACCCTAAGCCCTAAACCCTAAACCCTAAACCCTAAACCCTAAACCCTAAACCCTAAACCCTAAACCCTAAAACCCTAAAACCCTAACACCCTAACACCCTAACACCCTAACACCCTAAACCCTAAAACCCTAAACCCTAAAACCTAAACCCTAGACCCTAACCCCTAAACCCTTAACCCTTAACCCCAGACCGACCGTGCACGCTCAAGAGGTCCGTGCTGCAAGCCCAGCTGAGGAGGTGCCAAGTGAGGAAGCCCCACTGGAGGCAACTCAGCCCGTCTCCTCATGGGCAGTTGGTTGATGGTTTGTGGAAACCTCTGCAGCAGACGGACATTCACGCGGTGCTTTTTCAGGTTTCGGGCCCGGACAGCTGCACACTGTTGGAAGTTTACAGCGGGGTTTGCTTGGAGGTGATCTCCCTTATATGGGTGGTTGTGAAAATTATGGTCCCTTTTGGGGTACCCAAAATATTAGGTGCTGTACCATAACAGGGATCCCAAGAGGGGAATGATTTTCACAACCGCCCATATGAGCTCTTCAGCCTATAAGATGCACAAACTCCAGGCACTTGGGCAACTTCCCTTCCTCACCACAGCCCAACCGCTCACCGACCATGCACCCTCAATGCCACCCTCAACCCTCAACCCTCAGCCCTCAGCCCTCAACCCTCAACCCTCAACCCTCAACCCTCAACCCTCAACCCTCAACCCTCAACCCTCAACCCTAAACCCTAAACCCTAAACCCTAAACCCTAAACCCTAAACCAAAAGCAACCAAGGAAAAGCAACCAAGGTTGCAGGCCCAAACAACCCTGAAGGCCTGGGTTCGGCGGAATTCAGACTTTACTTAGGAATCTTGGGGAATATTTTCTTATTCCTGGGTACTTTTTTGAAAAGGGTTTAGGGTTTAGGGTTTAGTGTTTAGTTTAGGGTTTAGGGTTTAGGGTTTAGGGTTTAGGGTTTAGGGTTTAGGGTTTAGGGTTAGGGTTTAGGGTTTAGGGTTTAGGGTTTAGGGTTTAGGGTAATTTTGCTTTTTGCTAGTGTTCGAAAAATTGCGAGTTTAGGGATGCAGAGTGGGCCAGGCAGCATTCAGCAAGGCCGACGAAGTGGAGGTGGAGGAGGAGCGGCTCCCCCCACCCCCCCCCCCCCCCCCCCCCCGGGTTTAGGGTTTAGGGTCTAGGCCCCACACCCCCCCCCCCCCCCCCCCTCCCCCCCCACCCCCCCCCCCCTCCCCCCCCCCTCCCCCCCTGCATGCCGGTTCTGCTCGGCTCTTGCAGCTTTGCAGCTTTGCTGCAGGGGCATTCTCATAATGTTTGTTCTTGAATCAAGGGTTCCCCTACTACCTTAGTTCAGCTTAGTTGAAGTATGGGGGGGGAGCCTAGGGGGGCTAGTACAGCGGGGGGTAGTAAGGTACATGCGACATCTAAACGAGGCATGTTAGACTCGCTTCAGGTCAATAAACCCTAAACCCTAAACCCTAAACCCTAAACCCTAAATCTAAACCCTAAACCCTAAACCCTAAACCCTAAACCCTAAACTCCCATTGTCCAGGACTCACCGCCAGAGGCGGGGGAGGTGCACGTCTCCGCATCAGGCGCCGCTGCGAGGTTGGGGTTTTAAATTCTCGGGGTGCAAATTCCGAGCGGTTTAGGGTTTAGGGTTAAGGGTTTGAGGTTTAGGGTTTAGGGTGTACAGGATGGGTGGCATAGTTTGGATGTGAGGGGATGCCTTGGCTCTGGGATACCGACAGACTTGTGACGTGGGCTTTGATTGCATGTTCCAGGCTGATAGGCATGGAGTTGCATGGAGGTGGAACGAGAGAGGATACCCATCTGAGAATGTTGATAGGAAGCAGCTTTAAACTGTAACTAGTGGCCTTTCGGCTAGGCTATTTTGTCTATTTGCTTTCGGAATGTTGAGGATTTAGGTGTTAGGCCCAAACCTTTCCAAAAAGTCAGCCTCCAGATCTCAACAAAGGCCCAAGACCCCCTACCCTAAAACAGCCAAAGCCGCGCGGCTCGGGTCGATTGGACAGGAGCTTTGCTGAATTTCTTCGACACCTCGGAGGACAGCGGGGGGCTGCTGCGAGGAACACCAGAGCTGCAACGAGTTTTGGACGACATAGGGTTTAGGGTTTAGGGTTTTGGGTTTTGGGTTTAGGGTTTAGGGGTGGTGGTGCTGGTGGTGTGGTGGGAGGGGGGCCAACGCTGCCGCGGATGGTAGATGTTGGATCATGATGGTGTGATGATGATGACGATGCTGGCAGTGGCAGTTGCAGCGATGACGAAGGCGATGACGACGTTGAGTCAGCTTCTCTGCTCTTGCCAAGATTCATGTGGGTGGTTGGCAAAATTATGGTTCCTTTTTGCATCCCCATTCTACTACGGCAACTAGTATATTTAGGGTGATAATTATTTTGACAACCACCCATGTCTGGTTGCAAGTACAGTCAGTTCGCCTGTCCCATTGATTGCGTACATCGCTACTTGTGACTCGGCAGTGTCCTGGGCTTGCTCGGCTCTGCGATTGGGTACTTCAAAAGCAGCCACAAACCTTAAACCCTAAGCCCAAAAGAGACACCAGGCTCTCCAGACCCAAAAGTTGAGAGGTTGTCTTGCCGTGTCCACATCAACCCTGAAGGCGCGCAAGTACAGGGGCACATAGCGTCTGGATATCATTATCAACGGATTCCCCTACAGTAAACCCCAAAAGTTTCAAACCTTTTTAGGGGCAAATAGTGCTGGGATTCACCATACTTTCCTCTTAGGGACTGAGGCTATTGAGTTTCCAACTTGTTGGCTTCTACTATAAGTGAAGGAGCTACTTGTGAGGAATGAGAAGGTAGTTGTCTGATTGCCGACTGAAGTTCACACTATGTGAATCCGAAACACTAAACCCTACGGGGAGCGCACTATAGGGGTCGGAATAATTACTAGTCGTATTCCCTTATGGTCCCTTCATAGGTCTACTTTTATGCCCCCCCAAGAACCCTCTTCCAGTTCTTAAGGCCCCTACATGAATCCCCCAAACCCTAAACCCATAACCCTAAACCCTAAATCCTAAGCCCTAAACCCCAAACCCTAAACCCCATAGGACGCCGCCGCCCTGGAAGCGAAGCGCCAGCGCGTGGCGCGGCAGATCGAGCGCAGGCGGCAGGCCCACACCCCCGAATGTTCACTTTTGGGGGATTGGCGGTTTAGGGTTTAGGGTTTAGGGTTTAGGGTTTAGGGTTTGAGGGTTCCGATAATGAGGATTATACTCCTGCAAACGGGCCCCAAACCATGTACCTCAAGCCGAAAACCCTGCCTTGTAAGCCCTAAAGTCAAGCAGTTCTTGAGCTGCGCTCATATGGACCCATCAGGTACCTGGAGGACAGGCGCTCTTCGAAGCCATGACCGCTGCCAAATCCGGCCTCAAGCAAAATGCAAGGTCTAGCCAGGCGGGTTTATGGTTTAGGGTTTAGGGGTTTAGGGCCACTTTAGGGTTTAGGGTTTAGGGTTTAGGGCCGCAAACCTTAAAAAACAAACCCATCCAACCCCCAGCCCAGCCCTTGCAAGGACCAGCGAAGCTTTCCCAACCCTCAGAGGGCTTCAAACCTCATCATCGAATGATGCGCTCGGTAGGCCCTTGTGGCGAGACCCTCCTCTTAAATTTTCAGCAAACCGAAACCCTAAACCCTAAACACTAAAATCATGGAATCCCCAAACCCTAAGGGTTTTCTTGTGCCCCAGGCCAGGCGCCAGCCGAACGCAACGCGGAAGTCTGAGGAGGCGGGCCGGAAAAGGTTCTTGGGGGATGTGCCTCAGAGGGTCACTTCATACTAGGGCCCAGAGTAGGCCCTTATTCCCTTTTTTTAGGGTTTAGGTTCCCTTATAAACCCTTTTAAACCAAAAAGGGAACCCTTTTTTCCTAGGTTACTCCTGGCTCCAGTATATCTACTTTAAGAATTTAAGAATCGCTACATTGCCCTTATAAGGGAGAGTTCCCTTTTAGTCTCTTCGGGGTTCTTAAGCAGTTAGTTGCAGAACCCCTCAAAAGCCACACCAAATAGGGTTTGAAGCTTGAGGGTGACTGGCCGTGGCCAAACCTCCACAGTGCAATCCTCCGGAGCAGGGTCGCTCAGGGTTTTCAGTTTAGGTTATGTCTGGCATGGACTGGTTTTGTTGTTTGAGCGGCTTGTTTCGTTCTGTGAAACATTGGGTTGTGCTGTTTATTCTTTTTTCTGACTTGAAGGGGTTTCCAAGGTTAGGAGATTTGTTTTTGCTTAGCAGTTTTGCAGATGCAGTATGAGTTTCGTGTCCAGGATAGGGCGCAGAGTTCAACGCATGTTGGAGTTCGGGAGCACACTTGGAAGGCAGACATGGTTCAAGCTCTTTGGACAGGGGCTTAGGGACTGGGTAGGCAACCTTCACCCTTTTTGGTTATATAGAATCCTAGTATATATAAGAGGTTAACCCTTTGGGCGCCAGGGTACTCAGCCCCTAACCGGGGTAGGCAGTTGCATTTTCTCCTCGGTGTGACCGGTGTTGGCGGAACAGATAAAGAGGGGTAGGCGGTAGGCGCCGACTAGGCAGCTAAAGAAACGAGAGACATGGACAGACAATCTTTCAGACGACTTTTCCAAACACCAATACTTAGTGCTCCCGCGGCAGTTCTGGGCTTAGGGCCGGTCAGAAAGCACATGCTGTATGCCGGCAAGCTGTTGTGGTGACGCCACCGAATACAGCTGGCGTCGTTGGCCTTGCAAGCCAAACTCTGAAGGCTCCACCTTCCAGGCCGTGAATGGCCAATCCCCTTCTCACGTAGCTCCCTGATTGATGAAACTTGGCATTCTTTCCGGAAACTGTGCTTCGTTGGACAAGGTTTGTGACTGGCAGTTTTGCCCCTGCTCAGCATGACCCTAGAAGATAAACCCGTCAACGAAGCAATGCGAATCTTCAGCCGAGATCGACGTACTGCACGCGCGCTGGTGTTACCCACTCGTCACGAGCAGAGGGTTCGCACGCACAAGAAACTCCTAAACTCACTCAGGCCGCTGCACGCGCGAGCAGCTCGGGGAGGCTCTTTCTGACTTCCACGGAATTATGGGGTCTCGGGTTCAGTCAGGGCTTCGTCGCTTTATTTAGATTCCACTTGCTAAGTACACCTCCACTCAACACCCTGAAGCTAATCCCACCCACCAGCGACAACCCTTTTTCATAGGCGATGGGTGGTCTTCAAAAAGTCGGGAAGGCACAACAACAATCTTGGAGACCGCGTGTCGTGTGCGGATGCACACGTAACCAATCTGAGCCCATCCCCGACAGCATCAGGCTAAGGCTTTTGGTTGGCGGCTTAGGGTTTACAAGTCCCTTCTGGAGGGTATATGAGAAGCTGCTTGAGCTTGGTTGGAAGGATCCTTATGACCTATAGTTTGACATGCCTGACTTTCCTCACCGACCTACGATGTCTACAAAATGCTCCAGAAGACCTCAAGCACCGCCCTTGCTTCATCCGAAACAAACCTTAGTGGTTCTTAGCAGGAGATTTGGGAGCTATGTTCCCATGTTACCACACGCCTTTATTTAGGGCTTTCTAGGAGACACAGAAGAAAACCATTTCGCTCATTCCCTGCATAACATGAGTGCGAAACCCTACACAAGACTCAATTCTTATAGGGTTCTTAAGGGACGGGGGCTCAAGGGGGGGTTTGTAACCCAAGGTTCCCTAAACCCTAAACCCTAAACCCTAAACCCTAAGCCCTAAACCCTAAACCCTAAACCCTAAACCTTCTGGTCGCCGCCGGCTCAACACAGTTCCAGCTCCTGGGTGGGGAGGGGCTGCCGGGGGCTGCGGGCACGCGCTGAGTCTCAGGCTGTGGCCCCAAGCATGAGTTTAGGGTTTAGGGTTTAGGGTTTAGGGTTTAGGGTTTAGGGTTTAGGGTTTAGGGTTTAGGGTTTAGGGCAAGGACGTGGGTCAAGGGTGTTGGGGTTTGATGTTTTGGGGGTTTTGGGGTGTTTTCGGGCTTCCGGACTTGTATTATGAGCATGGGAGGCGGGAATGGTGTCTGAGACTGCCAGGAGCTCTGAGAACAGTTGGGCGTTGAGGTTGTTGTTCACGATGCAGGAGCATCTTGAGCAATTGCTATGTAGTTTCAGATTCAGTTTATGTCGAATGGAATTCTCCTGCTGCCGATCGATTTTTCGAGATTCAACCGTTGGTAAAACAACACGTAGTTTCAAGCAATTGAAGCATAGGTGTAAGCTCGTAACCTTACTTGCTGGGGCAACATAAATGGAGTTCTGATTGGTATGTTCTCCATTGTTGTTTCATGTGACCGACTGTGTTTACATGCGATGTTCAGTACCCCCCTCCCCCCCCGACCCCTCCTTCAAGTCATTCAAGTTGAGGATGCGCGTAGGTTCGCATGGCAGCGGGAAGCTGTTCAGGCTCTACCTCACGTTGCATACAACACCTGGGTTCTTCGACGCTCCGAAGGCCCACAAACGCCAATCCCTTACCCTAAACCCTAAACCCCAAACCCTAAACCTCAAAGAGGTCTACAGTCTCGCTGCATGGTCTGCCGGCTCCTCATGGGGTTGAAGGGCAGGCTCGGCTGTGGGACTCCCAAGCCCACGGGTTTAGGGTTTACCCCTTAGTTAAAGTTATAATTAGACCGTAGGGTTGAGGGTTTGGGGTTTAGGGTTTTCGGGTTTGGGCACGACAGGGCCCTCAAGGCTTTCTGAGTGATGCAAAAGCCATGGCAAACTAACCCTAAACCCTAAACCCTAAACCCTAAACCCTAAACCCTAAACCCTAAACCCTAAACCCTAAACCCTAAACTCACTCAGGACTCCCGTGGATCCGCTGCTTCTAGTCCAACCATCCAGTTGCCTGTGAGCGAGGCTGCTCGGCTCAAGGGTGAATGTCCTGCCGATGGCTTAACCCGGGTTTAGGGTTTAGGGCTTAGGGTTTAGGATTTAGGGTTTAGGGTTTAGGGTTTAGGGGAGTTTTCGGGACCCCCTTTTCTTGTTTCTTCCTGGTTTGGGTTTATTAGGGACCCTATGTTGCGCCGACTTCGCCATTGACTTCTTCACGGTCACTAGCCGAAGTAGGGTTTAGGGTTTAGGGTTTAGGGTTCAGCAGCTCTGGGTCGAGCAATCTCTAGTAGAGCCGCTGTCTGGACTCTAGAAAAAAAACCCACCCACCCAGAGAATCCCAAAACATGAAGAAATATAAAGCACACATTTTCCTCAGCAAGCCCTGTCCTCCAACCTCATTTATTCATTCTGCTCGTGTGTTTTGTCATTCTGCTTGGTTTCCATTCTGCTCGTATGCGTTTCTTTCTGCTGGTATTCATTCTGCTCGTATTCGTTCTTTTTCTGATCTGCTCGTCTCGTGTTCGTTCTCGTTCTGCTCGTATTCATTCTGCTCGTATTCGTTCTCTCTCTGCTCGATTTCAGTCCGCTCGTTTTCGTTGTTTTTCTTCTCGTATTCATTCTGTTCGTATTCGTTCTCTCTCTCTGCTCGATTTCAGTCTGCTCGTCTTCGTTCTCTCTCTGCTCATAATCATTCTGCTCGTATTCGTTCTCTTTCTGCTCATATTCATTTTGCTCGTGTTCGTTCTCTTTCTGCTCGTGTTCGTGCTCTTTCTGCGCGTGTTCGTTCTCTCTCTCTGCTCGATTTCAGTCCGCTCGTTTTCGCTGTCTTTCTGCTCGTACTGAGTCTGCTCGTACTCGTTCTCTTTCTGCTCGTATTCATTCTGCTCGTATTCGTTCTCTCTCTGCTCGACGTCAGTCTACTCGTATTCGTTCTCTTTCTGCTCATACTCACTTTGCTCGTTTTCCCCGGTGACCCTGCCTATTTTTGGCCGTCTTGTTGGTTGTGTTTGGCACACTTTAAGCTGCCTGGCTTCCACATGGTTTCTTTCCAATTAGTGCCCCGGTGACCTCGCCTCATGTTGGCTCCTAGAGGTTTGTCGTATGTCCCCTCTCTTCGTGCTCGTAAGGTTTGTCCCTCCCTTCATGCTCGTAGGGTTTGATGAGAAGTCTACAGGTTTGTCGCACGTCCCCTCCTTTCGTGTTGTTAGAGTTTGTCGTATGTCGCCTCCCTTCGTGCTCGTCGGCTTTGTCGTGTGTCCCTCTTCGTCTGCTTGCAAAGAATCCCAAGAATTCAGAAACTGAGATTTTATTTTCAGAGGTTTGTCGTATGTCCCCTCCCTTCGTGCTCGTAGAGTTTGTCGTATGTCCCCTCCCTTCGTGCTCGTAGGGTTTGATGAGAGGTCTTCAGGTTTGTCGTGCGTCCCCTCCCTTCGTGTTCTTAGGGTTTGTCGTATGTCCCCTCCCTTCGTGCTCGTCGGCTTTGTCGTATGTCCCTCTTTGTCCGCTTGCAGAGAATCCCAAAACATTGAGAAATGTACGGGTTTATTTTCGAGGTTTGTCGTATGTCCCCTCCTTTCGTGCTCGTAGGGTTTGACGAGAGGTCTACAGGTTTGTCGTACGCCCTCTCCCTTCGTGCTCTTAGGGTTTGTCGTATGCCTCCCTTCGTGCTCGGAGGGTTTGTCGTATGTCCCCTCCCTTCGTGCTCGTATGGTTTGATGAAAGGTCTACAGATTCGTCGCATGTCCCTTCCCTTCGCGCCCTTAGGGTTTGTCGTATGTCCCCTCCCTTCGTGCTCGTCGGCTTTGTCGCATGTCCCTTGTCTTCGCGCTTGCTTTCCCCAGACCGAAGGTAGAACCAAAAGTGTTGGTCCGGATTGACAAAAAACCCTAATTTTGTTAACCTCATGTTTT